CCACCGCTACAACTCCTGTGTAGCCAAGATATACAGCTTGACCGCTAATAAAAACCCAAACAGTGAAAGTTTTGGTAGGTACTAAATTCCGGTGGCCGAGCCGGCCGAGCAGATAGAATTTCGTACAATGACCCCAAACTATCCTTATCGCTCGCATGTAATTATATTGCTGTCGCGTTCGTTGCTCACTAGCTTGGGGTCATTGTAGGAAATTCTATCTGCTCGGCGACCGGACTTTACCAAATTTTTTGTTTCCTTCTTCCTCAAGGTACGAAGTCACCCGTAACTGCAACCTGACAGAAGTAGGCGAGGTGTTCGCCGAGCAGCCCTATGCTATTGCAGTGCAGCAAGGATCTCGGCTACAGGAACACTTGTCCAGAGCTCTGCTGGACTTGCAGAAGGAACGCTTCTTGGAACAGCTGGCTTCCAAGTAAGATACAAATACTTTAATTAAAGTATTAGACAAGATGTTCAAAATATATGTAAAAATGTCTAAGTAGGTCCACTACTTAATTAGTTTAGAACAAACACCGCCGACAAGAAGGCGACTAAAGTAAGTACTTACAGCCAGCCTTAACTGCGCACCTGGCTGTGACGACACATCGAGGCTCTGGTATGGACGGGGCGACGCGAACACAGGGAGGTGTAGGGATGTTATGTAGTTTCGGTTATGGATATAGGATTAATATTATACCGGTTTCGGTAAGGGTTACGGATATTTATTTGTTTCGGATATCCGAATGTTTCGGTTACGGTAATACGGATAGTATCTGTGCTTTAGAATGCAATTTGCAATAGTTGTCCAACACGGTTCACTCATGGCCGCACACTTTACATCGAATAAAAAATACAAATTGGTAGTTACTAAAAGGCATTATAAAGGTAAATCAGGCTGTTATGCCTTTACATTATAATGCTATACAAAAATAATTTAAACTGCCTACATCCGAAACTAGCCGAAATTTTTGAATCTGTTACGGTTTCGGATATTTTTTTATTTCGGATATCCGAAAGTTTCGGTTGCGGTTACGGATATCCATAACATCCCTGGTAGTCTCTACTGCAGGAGCACGATTTTACCAGAGACAAATGGAGGAGATGACCTATCTAGAATAGGACCATTGCCATTCTTCACATGGTAGGCGACTATGGAACAATCAAATCAAATTATTGACATATTTAATGGCTTTTTCTTCAGGTATTGGAACGAATCAGCTCGCCAAGCTTGCCCTGATGCAGACGAGTCTGAAGGCATCACGCTGGAGAGCTTGGGTAAACCAACTTTTTTTTGTTATTTATCGACAAAACTGATTCATAATAATTTGCCATCCCATTGCTGCATTGCAGTCACCCTGTATTTTTAATAACTTGAAAAAATCGAATTATTATTGCCTAAGGTGAGCATCGAACCGACCGACGCCGCGGTTAGCAAATTTTAGCAGAATTGCTAAAATCAAGTGGCAGTGGGCGGGGCACATAGCTCGTAGAGACGATGGCCGTTGGGGCAAAAAAGTTCTCGAGTGGCGACCACGGGCTGGAAGACGTAGCGTGGGCAGGCCGACTACTAGGTGGACCGACGATCTGGTAAAGGTCGTCTGAAGTGCCTGAATGCGGGCAGCGCAGGACCGTGCATTGTGGAAGGCCTTGGAGGAGGCCTTTGTCCAGCAGTGGACGTCATTTGGCTGAAACGAACGAACGAAGCAGTCTTGCTGATGTTTGATGAAACACCCTCCCGTATCGCTCCCATACCTCAAGCAACGAGTTAAGCGCTAAACCTATAGTTTGAGACTTTTAACGGTTCAGAATTTAAATAACGTTTTTTTTTATTCCAGGCGGAGTCTTCATAGCCACCCTTTTCGGCCTTGGCCTTGCCATGATAACTCTAGCTTGGGAAGTATTCTACTACAAACGCAAAGAACGAAACAAGATTCAAGACATAGACGCTAAAGTTGAAAAAGCAGCTTTCGTAGACTCTAAAAAGAAAGACAAACTCGGTGTGAGACTTCGTAAGGGAAAAACTAAGGTCGCCAAGCTGGATGTGGTAGGGAAAGGGAAGGGAGTGACTATAGGGGATACTTTTAAGCCGGCTGCTGAGAAAATGGGCGTGTCTTATATTAGCGTGTATCCTAAAGGAGAATATAGGCCTTAAAACGTAGTATTAGGGTAGTTAGTTGACACCAAATAAACTTTGTCAGTCAAATCATAATTGCACTCGTCAGTTTGCGTCCCTAGCGAGTATTCTCACTAGTTGGCGCCCCTGGCGAGTTTCCTAAAACATCGTACTCGACAGTGGCGCTGATCAGTTGGCGCCCCTGGCAAGTTTTGTGAAGCACTGCACTCGACTATGGCGCCAACTGGTGAATTCTAATAGGATACAAATTCTTTGACAAGGCATTTGTTAATAAAATAAACTTTTAATTAAGTAGGTATTTGCACGGAACTGTAAAGGTCGTAGTTGTTGTTCTAAAATAAAGGTAGTAGTTTCTAAAATAAAAAAAATAATTACCTATTACCAAGTTTTGTTTTATTGAAAAACGCGTTTTTTGGTGCCTTTAAAAGACATTCATATATTTATGCGTGACGTCACACAACACAGGGCGCTCGGCTATCCGCGACATTCGGCTAGGGTTAAGGACGAAGCACACTTAATAACCCGAAAACGGATCGTAACCATATTATCAACTCGAGGCTGTCCAGTATTATTTGTATGAAACTCCGTATTGTAATTCTGTAAGTCGTAAACGCCTCGCCTCGCGGCCAAAGGCGATACGGTGTTGTTGATCAAGTTTGTTCAAGTTGCCGAAAATAGCGCATGTAAGAAAAATGGCATCCTTTTAGGGCAAGTGCTATAATTACTGCTAAAAATGTACGAGTGTAAATGTAAATAATGGAGTTCGCAAACGTGTCTTCGCCGAAAACATGCTAGTTTTCTGCGGTTGCCATGGCGATCGCAATTTTGCTAACAATTTCTTACTCTATAAAAACATCTTGGTAACAAGCGCTATTTTCGGCCAAACGCCCCCATTGGCGATGCACTGAGGCGGTAAACGTGCGGTTACGTTTTGCAAATGTATGATAACTACGCGATTATCGTACTACTATGAACCAGGCAGAAATAAAAGACGCAAATTTTTGTAACTTTATATTAAACTTAAGTTTATTCGTTCTCCTGGCTGCGGAGGCGGGCAGCTGCATTGGTGACCCGGATACTGAGTTGCTGAGCACGCTCCACAATCGCCTTCCGCTTCTTCGAGGACACTCCGTGAGCGATTTCTGCGCAGTATTTCCTGTTCTGCATCATCAGGATTTCTAGCTCACGGACATTGTGGACCAGGACCTGAAAGAAAAATGGGAGGAATAATGTTCTGTCGGTGGAATAATATCTCAGAATTTTATCCCAACTAATATTATAAATGCGAAAGTAACTCTGTCTGTCTGTCTGTCTGTTACGCTTTCCCGCTTAAACCTCGCAACCGATTTTGATGAAATTTGGCATAGAGATAGTTTGAGTCCCGGTTTTTGAAACAGGGAAGTTTTTCTGTGACAGACAAAATTCCACGCGGGCGAAGCCGCGGGCGGAAAGCTAGTATGAAATAAACTCAGTATATTAGCCAAAGCTGTGTGTACCTGTTATTGGCATGCATACACACTAAACTTCTATATGTAAGATTTTCATGTAATTACTTTGTATGTAATGTTGTTGGTATACCGTAATAAATAAAATAAAAATAAAATAAGTGTTAATATTTGTTGGAGTGTTTCATCATTAGGTCATTTAATCTCCACTCAGGGGCGTAGCTACTAAGGGGCAAGGCAGGGCAGTGTCCCAGGGCCCCCAAGTTTAGGGGGCCCCCGAACCCTTACCAGAAAATCTCAATTGAACTAAACTTTGAAAATTTCTCCCATTTTCAAAATAAATAGACTGCAATTCGAAAGCTGTATGAAGAGTAAGTAAGATTAATGTCAATAAACTTGATAAAACCTAACCAGTTTAGATTGCAGTGGGGCCCCATTTCTAAATTTTCCCCAGGGCCCTTGGGTACCTAGCTACACCCGCCATCCACTGCATTCTGCAGGGTCTACCTTCTGGTAGACCCTCTCTAATTAACCAGAGGAAAATTGAGGGTTTGAACTACAGTCATGCTGGCCACAGGTTGTGGAGGTGATATCATGACTAAACTATTACAATATTATTGAAAGCTTTATCTAAAACAGTAACAGTACATTTCTACACTGTTCAGTATCAGTAGAAGGTGGATAACAATATTCATTATCTGAATATAGCAATGACAGTGAAATAAACAGTAAAATTAAGTCAAAATCTCTTTCACATATTCTGACAACTCTTGAGAGTAGAATAGGACTGCTCTATTTACCTATGGATTTAGTTAAAGGTGACCACGAAACCAATATGTGTATACCAGGCCACTCCACCATTGCAATCATGGGTAGTATCATTACAATACTCCATTAGCCTCTTTCTGGTAAAATAGTTTTCGGGCAGTGACGATAATTTAATAGAAGTTTCCTCACCTTGCGGAAGCCATTGGGGAGCATGTGACGGGTCTTCTTGTTTGAACCGTAACCAATGTTGGGCATCAAGTACTGTCCCTTGAAACGCCTGCGCACTCTGTTGTCAATACCTGGAAGTTGTTTACAATCACATTAGTCTCCATGTGGATAATTTATATCAATACAAATAAATATAGTAGATAGGTACAAATTTTTCTCTCTATTGGTTCATAATGCAACATAACCACACAAGAATTAATGATTTAAGTACAAGCAGATTTTATGGTCCCTGACATGGATCTTGAACACTTTATGGACAAATGTGTAAACCTTCAATATTGTTTCCATGAGTATCAAAAGTTTTATGAACAAAATTTACTTCCAGTGTTTTTAAACATTTCACTATTAAAATCAGTAAATTATGTTAAAAACGATGTCTTTAGCCGAGCGCTCAGGAGCCGTGCCGTGCGTTTTATGTTCACAATATCATAAATGTATCGAACTGCTATGATCCTACAGCGACATGCTAGCTGTAAGGAATAGGGTTCAGTTGAATTACTTTAGCAAGGTAACAAATTGTAATTATCATATTGAGAATGGATAACACAGAGTGCCCTTGCATATTCCTAAGGTTTTAAGTTGAAGACCATACCCGAAACATAACCTCGTAGGAAAGGTTAGGTTTCAGTAAATAAACTACTTTTCTTTGAAATTATACATGAGTTAAATTGAAGTCAAGTCTAATTTGAGTAAAAACAGTAATATATTCGTCAAACATACAAAATTATCACAAAATGTGGCTACAATGAACAAGTTGGAAACACCATGAAAATCTTACCTCTGGGTTTACGCCAGTTACGCTTAAGTTTGTCATAGCGATCCGATTGATGGCGGATAAACCTTTTCGTCCTCTTTTTGACGATTGTAGGCCTATAAACTGGTCTGATAGCCATTTTGAGTGTTTCTTTGAGAAACGCGGCAGTGAACCACGCGGTGACACGGCCGCACGAAAAGGAAAAGAAATAGACAATTGACAGCCATTGCTAGAGCGGAAGTATGTTTTCAATGTTCTATTTTACGAATATACTTTATGAAAAGTATATTTTCCAAAATTATTTGATTAATATTATTAAATATTTTTAATTCAGTGGTTCAGAACCATTTTTATGCTTTAATTTTAATAATATTTGAAAATAAATAAATAAATAAATAAATATAAAATAAATTAATTAAAATGTCATGTGAAGAGTTGAGGAGAAATTTTATTTTTGTTAATTGATTTGTGCCTTATTCTCAAAACTTTGAACATCTTGCAACGTAAATGATTAGTGAAAAACTTAATTAAAATGTTTAAAAGGTGGAAATTAATTTTTAACGATATGCAATGATTATAATAAATCGTCTATATGAGCCTTAACTAGTCTATGGTAGCCATAGAGTAACATTTATGACAGTTCTATGTTTACGAGAACAAACTCATTTCTCTATGCCACAGACGCCAAATGTCGCCATCGATCAATGACATTTTGTGAAGTTGAATTTATTGATATAAAGCGTTAATGTAAATAATAAACAATTTTATCATAAAAGTCGGCTTCCAGTCGATATGTATGCCAAGGGCAAAGGCTCTACGGTGCCTTCGGACGCTCAGGCTCGTGAAAAGTTGGCGCTGTATGTGTATGAGTACCTGCTTCATGTCGGCGCCACCAAAGCCGCACAGACGTTCCTCTCAGAAATCCGATGGGAGAAGAATATAACGCTCGGGGAGCCGCCAGGGTTCCTACATTCGTGGTGGTGTGTATTCTGGGACCTGTACTGTGCGGCTCCCGAGCGTAGAGATACGTGCGAACACTCATCAGAAGCAAAAGCATTTCACGACTACGGCTTTGTCAATTCTGGCTATGGAGTCAACGGAATCGGTCACAACGCAGGCCCTGCGCCTCCGAACGACGGTACGTACCATTCAACCCAGTTACGCGGCGTTATTTGTGAGTTTTTACGACCGACCGTTTCTAGGCCATGCCTGTATGTATCGTGCTATGTAAATAGTGGAACGCGGTTTTGGCCTGAAAGAAGCGTATGTAAACAGTATTCCTGTGAAGAATTAACTGAAGATCTAAAGCAAATGGTGTGCTATTAGTTTTTACCTCAATTTGAAATGTAATTGATGAATTTCAGCCAGCAGGCTTGCTTATCTCTTCAAACATTGGAATTAAAACATCTAGGTCACCAATCTAGCTGTAAATTAGTATTTTTGTACTAACTGCGGCACTCTGAAAATCATTATTGTAGTTTTTTAGGAATATGCAAGGGCACTCTGTGTTATCCATTCTCAATATGATGATTACAATTTGTTACCTTGCTAAAGCAATTCAACTGAACCCTATTCCTTACAGCTAGCATGTCGCTGTAGGATCATAGCAGTTGATACATTTATGATGTTTAAATTGATTCAGTTTAGTTTTATTTAGGTACTTACGAATAGGTTATTTTTTCTATTTTTAGTTGACATTTTTAAGCTCAATTACTTAATTATGATAGGTTTTGTGAAGGAAAGGAAAGGAATAGGTTTAGTAAATTATTTTTTTATTAGTTATGTTGCATGACGTCTTGTAATTTTCATAACTTATCTTAATATATAATATCTGAAAACAAGTTCTGATCCGAACACCTAATAGATTTTTTTGACATTGTATTTTGTTAATCACTGACCAATATAAAAAGAAGAAATAAAATAACTTTATTTTGGCAATATCAATATCAATCGAATACCTACACAGAATGTTAAAACTAGATGGAATAATTTTTGTTAATCCTTGATTATTGGCTTACAACAAATGATTAATTTCACCTGAAATAGTATTTCTAAAGTTCTTGTTATGTGTGCATTAAGAGTTAGATTGCAAATGACAAACCATGGCCAATCTTAAAAACATCTTCAGAACATTTCCATATGGCATAAATATTTGAAAATTTGCAATCTCATCATCATATCAGCCATTGATGTCCCACTGTTGAACATAGGGGAAGGCCCCAATGATATCCAACAGGTTGGTAGTGGCCTGCCTCCAGCGCCTTCCTGCTACCCTTATGAGGTTGTTGGTCCACCTTGTGGATGGATCTCTCTCATAAATAAATAAAAATAAAAAGCTTTTGCCACAAACAGATTTTGACTCCAATAAATTAAGTTAATTAGAAATATTTGTTTGTTCATTCTTGTGGTGCCCTGTATTGGCAAAAAAATCCTCCATCCCGCTCCATTTCTTCCTGTCATGGGCTAGGTCGAGCCAATTTTCATCCGCTGCTCTCATTATTTCCTTTTCTTGGGTCTCCCAACATTCCTCTTCCCCTTTGGTCCCTTCTATTCTGTTGATTGATGGACATCTAATTTCCAACAAAGAATGCATGGGCAAAGAAATAGATAGACGAATAACAAACACATGGAAGAGATACTGGTCACTAGCAGAGGTAATGAAAAACGGGAACCTAAAGATGTTCCACAAAAGGAAAATATTTGATGCCTGTATACTACCCTGCCTCACATATGCTTGCCAAACCTGGTCACTAACTAAGCAAAAACTTAAAAAGTTAAAAGTATGCCAAAATAGTATGGAGAGAAGTGTATTAGGAGTGAAACTTAAACACAAGATAAACCTAAACACAATAAAATCAAAAACCAAATTCAGAAGTGTTGTTGCAACAATTAGAAAGTTGAAATGGAAGTGGACGGGACACCTAATGAGGGAAAAGAAAGAGAAATGGACAAGAGCCGTAACGGAATGGTATCCCCGTGAAGGAAAAAGAAGCAGAGGCAGACAAGCGAAAAGATGGGAAGACGATATCCGCGAATTAGCAGGGCCATTATGGCCACAAATGGCTAGAAACAGAGAAGCATGGAGATCATTGGAGGAGGCCTATGTCCAAGGACAAACTGGAGATGAGTGCAACTAAATTGTAAAATGAAATGTTAATGTTGTAAAAATACCTTGTAATCCAGTAATAAAGGCTTATATTATATTATTATTATTCTGTTGATGCTATAGTCCATCTTCTATTGTTGTACCTTGCTAGGTGTCCAGCCCATTGCCATTTTAGTTTCAAAGCTTTTTGGAGGGCATCTGTTAGTTTTGTTCGCTGTCTAATTTTGTAATTTCAGATTTTTTAAATTCTACTCATAAAGTATGTAATAAACCAGTCTATCGTAAAAAAACACGTGCAATTGTCAGCCGTTTGGTGTAGTGGTTCTAAAACGGACTACTATGCCGAGAGGTCCCGGTTTACTATGTATAATATGTATGTATTTAAAAAGTATATCCGTTAAACTAGCACCCATAACACAAGCATATTAATTGCTTACTTTGGGGCTAGATAGCGCTGTGTGAAATTGTCGAAAGATATTTATTTATTTAATTCCAGGCATGGGCGGCGGCGGAATGCCGCCCGGTTTCTTCCCGAACTCGCCGCTGCGGCCGTCGCCGCCGGCGCCGCATCCGGGCTCGCAGCCGTCGCCGCACGGGCCGCAGCCGCAGCTCATGGGCACCGGCCAGCCGTTCATAGGCCCGTGGTACTCCGGCGGCGGCCCGAGGGGCGCCGTGCGGATGGGAATGGGCAACGATTTTAATGGACCTCCAGGTTTGTTTGTTTGATTTAATTTGTAGACAATGACCATGTTGTGACTTTTTTCGTTTAGTTAAAAAATTAAAAACATGATAAGCTCAAGCTTAAAATCTCAATTCAGAAAGAGGGCCAATTATGGCGGACCAATTGCTTGAAACTATCTCTTCCTGACAACCCAGAAATACATCATCTATTTTTTAGTATGAAATAGAAATAATTTTATTGACACAGTATTAGTTATAATATTAAATAGTGACTTTTCGCGCAAGCGTCCATTCGCACTGTCTTTTTGTGCAAGTTTTGGTGCGCGCAAATGGCTTTTCGCACTTGTGCATTCGCGCAAGTGTCAGGATACGAAAATAAGCTGGTTAACATGCCCTCAAACAGCAAATATCGTGACAATACTTTTTAGGTTGTTGAACATGCTAACTTGAATGTTTATCATCTTTTTTACCCAGGTCAAGGCATGATGGGCAACTCGATGGAGCGCGGCGGCGGCGCCGGCTCCGCGGGGCTGCTGGGCGGGCCGCGCATGACGCCGCCGCGCCCCGGCATCGGGCCCATGAGCCCCGGGGCCTACGCCGCGGGCATGCGCGGCCCTCCGCCGCAGGGACCAGGTGAGCAAAATGCCGGTAGGGCGGCAAAATGCCGCTATGGCGGCAAAACGCCGCTGCAGCAAAATCACGTTCTTGGTTTAAGTTTAGGTACTTCTATCATAACGCCGCGGGCATACGCGGCCCTCCGCCGCAGGGACCAGGTGAGAGGAGATCTTAAACTGAAGCGGCAAAATGCCGCCTTGAAGCGGCAAAATGCCGCCTTGAAGCGGCAAAATGCCGCCTTGAAACGGCAAAATGCCGCCCCTAATTGGTAAAACCCCGCTTTACTGCTAATAACTGACGCAGCAAGTAACAAACGCTTTAAAAAACTACAAGACAATCACTTTGCTCCTAGTTAGTTGTCTTCGACGTATGACATTCCACGCCCTTGGCTAGAGACTAGAGTACTTCTATCATGACGCCGCCACTATGGCGCCAAAACGCCGCTTCATCAAAACCACGCTCCTGGTTTGAAAGTAGATTAGGTCCTTCTAGGATGATCCCGTCGTGCTGCTACTGCAGCAAAACCCCGCCTTACAGCGCAAATAATTGATGTGGCAACGCAAAACCCGGTGCCAGTTACCATGTACCACCTTTTAAAGTGTTAAAAGACTACCGGAGAATAATAATTACTTTGCTCACAGTAACTTATTTTCAACATATGACATCCCACGCCTTGGTTAGAGACTAGAGTAGGTACTTGTATCATGACGCCGTCGCGCCCCGGCATCGGGCCCATGAGCCCCAGCGCCTACGTCGCAGGAACCAGGTGAGAAGAGCAAAATGTCGCTATGGCGGCAAAACGCCGTTGCAACTAAACCACGCTTTTAGTTCAAGACTACAGTAGCTACTACTATCATGACGCCCCGCGGCCCAAGGCGGCAAAATGCCGCCGAGCATTAGGTGCACATAGCTCGCAGAATTACTAAAATAAAGTGGCAGTCTGTGGACGGGGCACATAGCTCGTAGAGACGATGGTCGTTGGGACAAAAAAGTTCTCGAGTGGCCACCATGGGCCGGGTGACGTAACGTGGGCACCAGTGGGCAGGCCTTCCACTAGGTGGACCGACGGTCTGGTGAATGTCGCGGGAAGAGCCTGGATGCGGGCAGCGCGGGACCTGTTGTTATGGAAACCCATGGGGGAGCCCTTTGTCCAGCTGCGGACGTCATTTGGCTGAAACGAACGAACGAACTAGGTGCACATACAGTATTGTTGATAATTGCCTATTTGTATAGAAACGAGTACACAGCAGTATCAGGTGAGCGACACTTTTACAGCGCTGCGGCAAAATATCCAGACAAAAACCCAGCAATTCACAGTTCATTTATTATTTTTATACCATTTATGCTATTTACCAATAATGTAGTCAGTTTTACTTGGGACAAACTTAAGCCTTCACTGGTTGGGTCTTTATTGGCGGTCAAGCTGTACAAAAAGAAAAAAAATCTGTAAACTAAACTTACTTAACTTAGGGCTGATTTTTCAATCGTTGGTTAAGTTTTAACTGAAGAATAGAACTGTCATTTTGACTTATTTCCCATACTAAAACTGTCAATATGCCAAACATATTCTTCAGTTAGAAGTTATCCAGCTATTGAAAAATCAGGCCTTAAAAGTAGTAACAATATTATCAAAAAATATTTTATTTGTTACTTAACTTTACTAAAAAATAAAGAAGTTTCAAGTACCGCCCACTAAACCAACCAAAAAAAACAGGTATGCCACCGATGGGAATGGGACCCCGTGGCGCGTGGGCCGGCGGCAGCGGCGCCGGCGGGGGCGGAGGCTCCGCGCCCCTCAACTACAGCGGGGGCTCCCCGGGCGCCTACGGGGCCCCGCCCGGCAGTAACGGGCCCCCCGGTCCGCCCACACCGATCATGCCGAGCCCGCAAGACTCTTCGAACTCTGGTGAGTGTAGCTCGTAACTCGGGTGGCGGTGTGGCGATGGGTTACGCTTGGATACCGATTTTTTGAGGTATCTTTTTTAATGACAAATAATCGGTATCCGAGCGCGCTTTCAAAGTTAACTGTCTGTCAGCGGAAATTGGATGTAATATTGTTATTTTTGTGTACCCCCAATGTATTCCGTACAGTTTTCGCTCTCCGTCGCTATTGGTCCCGTTAATAACACTTTGAACTAAACCCAGCACACCTTAAACGAGTATTTAACCTTTACATTCAGAAGTTTACAGGTTCTTGTATCTTTACATCACTAAAAACCAGGTATTTGACTGTGGCACTTCCTTTGGCGTCGTTTTACATTTTTTACGCACACCTCAGGGAATTGTTAAAAAATTGGTATCGGTGATACCAGTTTTTGGAATTGGTACCAATGATATTGTTTTTCATAACTATTTATGGGGTGTGACTTATTGTTTATTAAAAAAAACCTTCAAAGATTATTTCTTACTTTTTAGTTTCGCTTGCTTCATTCTCGCTTAACCTTGGTTCGTCCGCTTTGGGTCACTTCTGTATACGCTTTATATGTTCCTTTTATGTTGTATAATTTTTGTTCTTTATGTTTGTATCCATTCTGTGTTAGATGTTAAGTTTGATTCGCTAAGTTTCAACAGGTGATAATGTATTAAATCAAATAGTAAAAAAAAAAACGTTAAAACAAACTAATAAAATCTTCTTAATCAAACCAAAATATCTACATTTTGTCACCTGTTGTTATGAAGTGAGTAGAAGTAAATCATTTTAGTTTTCAAACTGTTATTATCTTGAATAATGTACATTATATTATGTTGCTGTAAACCTCTAAAAGATAAAAATATGTACGTACATCGAATACCCTTTATTATTAACAACTATTACAGCATTCGATTGAAAAAGTGCTTAGCCGGTTAGAAAACTAAAATGATAATAGACTTACAAAAATTCCATGTATGCTTCCCCTAGCTAGATTACGAATGAAAAATGTATTCAACATGATAATGACCTGGTTTTAAACTTCTGTTAATTAAATCAATATTGATTTAAGACAATTTCATAAAATGCCGGACTTTACCGCTGAGCGAAATTCAAAAGAAAAATCATGTATCATATTTTTTTGAAGTAGTAGTTTTTTTAAACATAATTTTAGCACAATTACAGCCACAGCACAAAACTTAAAATTCTGATTCTTTTATTTAGGCCCTTTTCAGGGTACTTACACGTTCCAAATATAGCATCATGTCGACTGTCTTGAGTCGTGAGAAAATAATGCAAATTAATAAAAACCGTAGAAAAACCAGGTCAACCATTCGACACTCATAGATGTAGTCACTACCTAGCGTCCTTCAAGCCAAACTAGCGAGTATTCGCTCCAGTAGTGAGGTGACGCAAAAAAAATACCAGTTACAAAAACTCGGTATCACTTCGTGGCGACTGTAGAAACTAGAAAAACTCCCTATCATACATCGACGTAGCACTATCTAGCGTCCACACCCCAAACTAGCGAGCGTAGTGAGGTGACGCAAAAAAAACACGTTACAAAAACTCGGTATACTGTAGAAAAACCAGGTCTCCCTATCATAGACGTAGCACTATCTAGCGTCCACACCCCAACCTAGCGAGCGTAGTGAGGTGACGCAAAAAAATACCAGTTACAAAAGCTCGGCATCACTTTGTGGCGACTAGAAAAACCAGGTCTCCCTATCATACATAGACGTAGCACTATCTATCCACACCTGAAACTAGCGAACGTAGTGAGGTGACGCAAAAAAATACCAGTTACAAAAACTCGGTATACTGTAGAAAAACCAGGTCTCCCTATCATAAACGTAGCACTATCTAGCGTCCACACCCCAAACTAGCGAGCGTAGTGAGGTGACGCAAAAAAAAATACCAGTTACAAAAACTCGGTATCACTTCGCGGCAGGCGGCGACAACATGTACACGCTGATGAAGCCGGTGGGCGCGGGCGCGCTCGGCGCCGAGTTCCCGCTCGCCGGCGAGCACGGCCCGCAGCCGCCGCATCTGCCTCAGCCGCCGGCCAGTGAAGGTGCTTTCCGGCCAGGCAAAGTTTCGGGCATTTTTTCCGCTTTTTTTCTTACGTCGATACCGATTTTTTTGGGTACGGATTTCACTCGGGCATTTTTTCGGCTTTTGTTTTACGTTGATACCGAATTTTTTGGGTACCGGTGATCGAAGAAGGTTTCGGCTACCGATTGACTGTTGATCTTATACCGAAAACAAGCAAAGGATGATGGGCATATTGGGCGTTAGTCCAACAGAAACAAAAAGTATACTAAATTAAAGCTTAATACTAGTACTTCATTTCATAGTATGACAACAACCCTGAAATACGCGGGGCTACGGAGATAGAGGTCGTTGAATATGCAAAGTTTCCATAGTATTTCACATCACATTAGGGTAATAAAAATAGTATTAGGTCAATTACATTGCTTTTATCGATCATATTGAGAGTATTGTATCGTATCCAAAGTTTCCATAGTATTTCACATCACATTAGGGTAATAAAAATAGTATTAGGTCAATTACATTGCTTTTATCGATCATATTGAGAGTATTGTATCGTTTCTTACTATAGATTCTATCGATTTAGTAAGTATGTATACCGAATAAATCATAATCGATTATTCGATTTCAATAATCGATTATATTGCTGAAAATAAGGAATTGAATTAACAATCAAATGATAGTAATGATGGTAATCAATAAAATTTCTCATTTCTCTTAATGGTACCTAGATATGGTCCTACGCTTATAATGGAACATGGTTTAAATAAACCATTTGTTGGCCCCACTCCTGAACTGTTGGACATAATAATGGATAAATAACTTAATGTATTTAAAATGTAAGTAGATAAGTATATTAATTAATAATATTTTTGGTTTGCGTAATAAAGAACCTATTACTATTACACATTATGTCAATTTCCAAGCAAACCCGGGAGTTTTTGGTAGTTATTTATATGAAAATATATTTCTGATATTAAGTCCTAACAAATAATAGTAGTTACATTTCTGTTGGATTTACGCCCAGATTCCATAGAAAAGTGCCCATCATCCTTTAGCTTAAGTGAATAAAATTATTATTTGCTAGTAATCTTTTGAAAAAAAAAGTACCGACTGAGTTTGAATACGCAAATAGTAACCCCGCTGTTTTATAAACGTAACTACTCAACACATTAGTTGGTGTTACGATTTGTTGACATAGTACACGACTAATCATGGTATCATAAATAAATCATTGTTTTGGTCAAACGATACCAATTTTTTCGGTATAAAAAAAATCGAGTTCATCTCTATAATCATTGAATTGCACATAATTAAAAAAAAGTGCTTAGAATTATGCTTGTTTACTAAAAAAAACTCAAATTATCGTGAAATGTTTTCCTGTGAAATAAAATGCCCGAAATTTTGAATTTTTTCTTAGGATATTAAACTTAGATATAAACGAAAACTGTTAAAAAAACAAGGAAAGTATTAAACTGTGTATTTTTAAAAGCAGTTTAATGTTTTCCGGTTTGAAACGAACTTATGCCCACACTGCCACCACCAAATTAGTATTTATCTTTTCATTACTTAACATAAGGCACATCACGCGTTCTACATGCTATTTTTGTTGTTTCATTGGTCTATTTCAAATAATTTTACTTAAAAAAACTGTTTTGAAAGCGTGTTTGCTTATGTCAAGTAATAAATATTATTTATACACAATATTTATACCTACTACGTATAAAAAAAGCAGGAAAATTATTATCAAACGAAAAAAATACAACATTGATCTCATATAAATTTTATTCAAAGTTGATGCTGAATTATTTTTTTTTTTTAGAAAACAATATTAAAAACGTTATGATTATGATAAATAAACACCAAAAATTAAATTAACAAAAAATTTTATTGTATGAGATCAATGCAATCAAATAGATATAAATAGTGGGACATTTTGTGTGTGTGAAAATGGGACAAAACATGACAGACATTATCTAAAATACAAATAAAATAAAATACGTTATTGCTATTATTTACAAAAAAATAGTTGTACTCAAAATGTCCCATTATCATTTTAAAAAATGCATTTTGACCGAGTTATTAGAGAATGAAGCGAAACGAAACTATATCCACATGTCAAATATTACAATTGCTTACTAATTTTATTATCTTCAAGGGGGCGGATTATAAATAACATTTTTTTATAAACCTTATTTAGGTTTCAGTTTAAAGAACCTCAAAATTTAAAACTACTGCCAGCTACTTATTGACGTAAAAATGCATCCATATAATTAATATTTAAGTAAAATACCATAAATCACTTACCATCAGGTGAGATACAGGCCAAGAGCTTCCTTGTGTTGATAAAAAAAATAAATTATAATAATTGTTATGTTATTATGAATTTGTTATTTATAAATTGCCCCCTTCCTATTACTACGCGTAATCCGACTAACTTATACTAAAATATCATTTCGAACTAAGCGCCATTATGATGTTATTGAAAAAAATGTCGCATCACTTTTCAGAAAAATTGTTTTTTTTTTTGACAATACATTGTTCTGTTGTTCTGTGCTTATAACATAAACCACAATAAATCAACATGGCGCTCAGTTCAACTTCACAGTAAGCTTAATACTAATACAAGAACTTGAACAGCTCTAAAACTTCCCCCAGGATTAGGAGGTGTGGACGGCATGAAGTCTTCCCCGGGCGGCGTGGGGGGCGGAGGCCCCGGGACTCCCAGGGAAGACTCCGGATCAGGAATGGGTGACTACAACAGTTTAAGTGAGTACGGTACAACCAGATCTTATATGTAGGCGACACTTGTTACAACGATATGAGTTAAATTGTTAACGTTTGCTCGCCGAGCCTGGATAATATACAGTTAAAAATCGGTCTAAATAAATTATAGTAAACATTTTTTTAACAATTTTTTCATTGAAAAACCTATTAGGAACACACCATGGATTTCATAACATTAAATTTCTGTATCATTCATGTTTCGATTACATTTTTTTGAACGTTTTTTTAACGAATCGGGCTTGAAATTTTTTATAAAATAAAAATAGAAGTCAGAGTATTTTTATTACATTTCATAATAATGTACTTAAATTAATTGTAAGTTTAGAATACTATTGTCAAATCTTGCCTATAAAATATTCAGTTTTGTTGTTTCTTAGGTTAGACGTTAAAATACTTTGAAATTAAAGAACAAATTGAAAGAAACCAAGTTTCTATTGCTCATTGTTAGCTAAGCTATAGTTGTATGTATGCATGCGGGTTCGATTCCCGCATTAGAGCAAATATTTTTAATGAGATTAAGTTTAATTGTAAGCTTCTGTAGTGGTTTAGATTAGCATTCGGTGAGATAGCACCCCCATTTATGTAATATGACTCGCCCCTCTTGGCAGTGTCTGCATAAAATGTTTTTTATGTAGTAAAAACGTATTTTTTGAGATTAAACAAAACTAAATTGAGCAAAACCGCGATTAAAAGGGCCATAAACACGCGAATACACGAGGTATTTTTATAAAATCACGTCTAATTATCAATAATTCAAATTCTTTGGAGGGACGGGTTATATTATTAAAATTAATCTTAAAACTAACTAGTACCGAATCGGACCACGACTCGACGATTTTCATTTAAGTTTTAGTTTAAATGCGCTTGAAAACGCTGTCCGAAAGGTTTCGGCGGCCCAGGCGGAGATCAAAACGACCAGACCGAGTCGGCGGCCATCTTGAAAATCAAAGAGAGCATGCAAGAGGAGGCGAAACGATTCGAGAAAGACCCAGACCATCCGGACTACTTCATGCAGTGAATCGCGCGATGGTCGGCCGCCAGCTCGCCAAGAAAATGATATCAATTTTTTTCGGTATCATTTTTGTTGCCGAAAAAATTGGTACCAATTTTTTTCGGTATCGAAATTCGTCTAGCAAAGTATTTTGGTGATCTCAAAATTTGTTTTTGGCGGGTTGGCGCCGCCTCGCGTTATGTTTTCCAACGATCTGAAGAGGATTTATTTTAAACTTTTTTTTGTAATAGAAATTCTTTGACTTTTTTCGCACGTTATTTATTGTTTAGAGACACTTATAGTTTTCGCGCATTCTTCCTCTGGTGTGTTTGTGACTCTTTGGACAGTTTAAAAAGCTTATTTTCAAAATTATGTGCCAATCAAATTGAAGTTCCTTTAAATCATATGTATCATTAGTGTAATCATGCTTAGATTAATAATAAACAAAATAGGTTTAAATCTGTAATGAAACATCTTAAATGATCAAGCAGTTGAACGTCAGTCAAACGTTGTGTTGTTGAACAAATCAGTGCAATTTAGTTCTGATAAATCAAGTCTGATATCAAGAAATGGAGTCCCATCGCATTTCTTAATTTCTATCAAATAAAAAACTATCATCTTACTTTAATTTAGAGCTGATCTGCACTGTTAAAGGACTTACAGCCTTACTAAAGACTGTCGATTCGACAGTTTAATTCTGTTGTTCAAATACATTCAAAAGTTTTACAGCCGGACTGTTTTAGATCAAATGTAGGCTGCCTGAGTATTACAAAACAGCTATCAAAATACAATCTCAGACATAGATTCAGACCTTTTATTGGTCTAAATATTGAAATTCAATCAGAAGGGTCAATCTATGATTGAAATTTGGAGTTTTGAGCGTCTTTGTAATACGCACCTAAGTGATACTTAGCCTACTGAAATCTACGTTAAAAAACTGTCGAAATTAGTGGCAATTGTGTTCTGTCAGTCTAACTCGTTCAATTTAGAGCAGTCAAACTGTATAAATTTGCTTTCGCCTTAATTTAACGCTTTCTCCCTGGTGTGTGGCTGCAAAGTTTGACAGCTCCAAATTGTTGTATGTTCAAGTTTCTTTTAGTTAGACTGGTGTGACATAATTGCCACCAATGACAGTCTTCTGAAGCTGTGAGCATCACTACAGTCATGACATTTGACAGCTGACAGCTTGATGAAAAATACCAGCGCATTGCAGAGTTATTCCCGGGTATCTACTTAACATTAATATTATTTTTCTCGCTTATTCATGTATTTATTTCTTTTCTTCTGTCTCAAGAGTCAAAACAAAGCCTTTGCACATAGTTGAGATAAAAAGAGAAACTTAATTAGTGATATTCTATGTATTATCTATAATATTTAGTTATTTAGATTTTTTTAATCGAATAAAGTATGTATGTATTGATATTACATAAGCACTGAGGTTATTTGACGTCTGCACGTCTTTAAAACGTGGTTTCAAAGCTAGACATAAAGATTATGTGGACTGTAGCATGGTATACTACACTGACGGTGAAAAAACTTTTAAAAAAAATCTGTCGCTTTAAATCAACAGATTGTAAAAAATGATCTGTCATATTTAGTAAAAAAGCACAACAAGATAAATGAAATTGAACTTTATTATAATCAATGTTTTTAATGGATTATATTATGCAATATTACTTATTAATTATTATACTTTTTATGAATTATACGTTAAAATCTAATGGTTTTCATTTTAATGAAAAATATTATTTATACAATACTGTACAAATATTTAATTAAATTTGAAAATCCTTAGGCATTGACCCTACCTCTGGTAGAAGTTATACAATTTTAAAAATACATTTTAATGAGTTTTAAAATATAAACTACGCGTTCGTGCTACAGTTCAAATAAGTATAATTTAAGTATACGCACTACATTGTACTGCGTTCATAGTAATAATCACATCAACAAATAAAACTTTCTTCCTCGTAACTTTTCGTTAAATAAATTATTTAGCGTTAACATATTGTTTTAAGTTCTTAATGTTCCTAGATTATGTATTTTTTGTATTCTTAAGATCTTCTTGGGATATTTCGGTGCGTCTGTGTTGGATGTATCGGCGTTGTTGTTTGAATCACTGAACCACTTTCACCGCTTGCTGATCAAGTCCCTGTTAGCCTGCAATCTGTAAGGATATCTGTCAGATAAACTACAACATTTGGTTTAACATATTTATATTTGTTAGAAAAAATCACCATAACCAGCAGCCTCTATTTTTAGATAGCGTTATCTGTCAGATAACTGTCTGAAACTTGATCAAGAAACGGTGAAACTGACCATAAAACAAATGCAATGTGAAGTGACTTTTATTAATTTGACATAATACTTAGACGTGAGCAGTTAACGGAATTAAGGCAACATTTTTAGTATTGCAAATAGTGTCGAGTTTATGTTGTACAGTGAAGGCGATAAAGCTAAGCAAAAAAGTGGTAAATAATCCAAGTAATACAACTTATAAGATATGAAATAACTTAATCCATTTCAATATTTGGGAAATTTTATTAAAAACATGTCACCGGATTTATTTTAAATTGTAAAAAGCATCACTTTGAATATCACAATATTAATCCATTACTTACTTGGTTTTTGTTTTTTTCTTGTTCGATTTGATGACATTAGAATTTTTGGTGCAGTTTAAAAAAAGTGATCTAAACAACAATGTCGGCTTATGGTCAAGTCTCTGATTTAATTAAAGTTTTGATGCGCGATTGAATTTTATATTTGAACAAAAAAAAACTTTCAAAAAATTGGTATCAAATAAAATTCCTCTCGCACCAGAACAAGCATTTATTCATGTTATATAAATTATGGATTTTACGATATTTCTCACGCGATAAACAGCATTATCTAGATGTAATATGACGCTTAGGCAATTAGCTCAAAAATGTGTTCAACGTCGATACCGGAAATTTTTAAATTTTTTGTTCTTGCCTGAACACATTTTTGAGCACTAAGCTTCGAGATTTTGGGTGGAAATTTTTATGGAAATTTTATACCATGAGATAGTGATGTGTTGTAATAGTTTTTTTTTTTCACTCTCTTCATTGATGTAGCATAGGATTATATTTTTCTTGGGGTGTATGGAAATCTGTATAAATTAGAATATTTCATAGATTTGGAGAGGTAGATTTTAAGTTTTGGGGCGTCTGCTCTGTCCATAGTTCTGCGCAAGTTTGGGTTCTTTTAGTGATACCAAAAAAAAACGATACCTCAAAGATCGATACCGATTTTGAATCTCGACTGATGTTCGGACACGCCCATTTCATTGATAAATAATACAAATTGTAAATAAAATCAATTTGAATGTGTAATTGTGGTGTATTTAATTTTTTGATAGAATTTTTTGTGTCAAAAATGAATAAAAAAATAAATAATATATCAATTTTTAGCGAAATTTACACTAAACGGACCCAAAAATTGTAAATTTAAATGCAGCGTTGAATAAAAGATTAGGGTTAAGTGAACTTAGTGTAAACAAAAAAAAATAGAATTTCGACAAAATGTCGGTTGACAGACAACCGGCATGTTTTTTTAAAGAATATAATAATTTAAAATTGGTTATTAATTTAATCATTAAATTAAAATACGTGTAGCGTGAGGTTGTATGTTGTTTTTAAGGTATATTATTATTAATTATTATTTTCCTTCATTTTGTGAGTTAGGTAAATGAATTATTTTTTTCTTATCGATGTAATGTTTATATACTTACATAAATAGTTATTATATATTAAATTGCTCGTTTTATTTCAATTATTACCCTTCCTCACTAAATGCAGTTACTTTCCTCGTAGAAGTAAAGTTAGATTCTATATAGTCCAGTCAATGAATGCCTTAACGACGGTGTAGAGAGAAATCCGTGGAACACAATTTCTGACCTCGGGACTTTATTTAGCCTAGTTAGGTGGTGAACATAGCAAAAGTCCCCGCCCTTAGCCCTTGAGCCGGCGGGGAGAGGGGGGTTTAAAGGTACCACTTTTCGGTTTTTCGCTTAATCCTCGGAAACTATGCGTTCTAGTGACATGACTACTATTAACCAAAAAAAGCCTATTCAATTTGCTACAGGTGAGACCGTCAAGTTTTTCTATATCTTGTATAGTTTTTGCGGCATCTGCTCTAGAAGGTCTGTAAAATTGGAAATTTTATTGTTGTCTTACATGTTCCTTTCAGGAGAAAATCGACTAAATCAACATTGAGCAAACACTATAGACATGCGGGAGCATGTTAAGCCTAGTTCCATGGAGGGGACTGCACCGTGCGTATATTTAGACGAACCAATTAGAGCCACTTTTGACTCCTCATCATTCAAAAACTACTGTGCATTAACACTTCAAATTTGGCTCATGTATTGAGACTTGCAAGATGTACATCAGCTTCAAATTTCATAAATATACCTCAAACGGTTATTTAGGTATTGACGTTCAAAAATCGATATTTAGAGCACTACTATCTATCTATCACATGTGAAATGTTAAAATTTACTGGTTTTTTATTTGTTCCTTTGTATTTACATAACTACCTTTCTGGATGCCAAATTTGAACCTTCGAGGTCATCTGGAAGTGGTTAGAATTTGGTCTATAGGTCAGACATGTAGATTTTTGGACGTCAATATCTAAAGAACCGTTTGAGGCATATTTATGAAATTTGAAACTGATGTATATCTTGCAAGTCTCAACACATGAGCCAAATTTGAAGTGTTAATGCACAGTAGTTTTTGAGTGATGAGGATTCAAAAGTGGCTCAAAGTGATTCGTCTAAATATACGCACGGTGTAGTCCCCTCGCTGGAACTAGGCTTAACATGCTCCCGCATGTCTAGAATGATTGCTCAATGTTGATTTAGTCGATTTTCTCCTGATGGGAACATGTAAGACGAAAATAAAATTTCCAATATTACAGACCTTCTAGAGCAGATGCCGCGAAAACTATACAATTTATAGAAAAACTTGTCCATCTCATCTGTAGCAAATTGAATATGCTTTTTTTGGTTCAAAGTAGTCATGTCACTAGGACGCATAGTTTCCGAGGATTAAGCGAAAAACCGAAAAGTGGCACCTTTAAACCCCCCTCTCCCCGCCGGCTCAAGGGCTAAGGGCGGGGACTTTTGCTATGTTCACCTCCTAACTAGTCTAAATAAAGTCCTGAAGTCAGAAATTGTGTTCTACAGTTTTCCATCTATAATGCTTTATTGACTGGACTAATAGTCTTTTTCACCTAAGATGATCCGTATGACGTTTCGAGTTTGAAAGATTTAGAGATGTCACATAACTAAACCATAGCGATTTATCTATCGATTTTTTTCTAAGAGTTAGTAAAACCTACTTTTAGAGAAATATTTTGTATAGGTGTTATTTAACAAAAAACATGTTTTTATTAATTACAAATATTATTGTAACAATTATATAATGATAATATTCAAATTTCATGGTTCGTGTTCAAAAAAACGATTCCTAAAAAGTACTGGTTCTGTTTCTTTAAATTAAAAACTATTAATTTATTTTCAATGCGTTTATTAAAGTCAATAATCGAAAAATACAGTTGATTTTTGTGATGTTTTTAATAACTAAGTATTCACTGCAATCGATTAATGAACCGCGGAAATAATCGATTTTATTATACAAGAAATACCCCAGCACTAAATCTATTCCGTTTCACACATTGCGTACATTAAATAAAAAATATTTTTACATCGTATTTAATTAAAATATAATCAATAGACTCAGATTTTACTATATATTTCAAGACAAGTAGTTATTTTTTTTTTATTATATTGCTAATAAAATACAAATAGTTTTTCAAAAATATTCTGCATATATGTAGTATGCGTAATATGGATAACCTTGAAGTGTCATACGGATCATCTTACGTGAAAAAGACTATAATGGTGAACAGTTTTTCAAATCGTTCCAATAGTTTAGGAGCCTATTCAATACAAACAAACAATCTTTTCTCTATCAAATTAGTCGAAATGTGAGAAAGTTTATAAAACTACTGAACGGATTTTGATGAAACTGTAGTATATTTTTTACCTCAATAACGTGAAGGCTATCATTTATAAAGACACTAGCTTTCCGCCCGCGGCTTCGCCGCGTGGAATTTTGTCTGTCATAGAAAAACTTCACGCGGGCGAATCCGCAGGCAAAACCTGAACTGTTAAGATCTGGAGACAATCAATTAAAAAAAGTTCCTTTTAAAATGTACATTTAATCTAAATATAAAAATAATCATAATACAATGTTAGCTAGCCAATTTGCTGATGTCCTCGTACTGGACTCCCTTCAACACTCGGCCAGTTAGCGGGCCTTCGGAGATCTGTAACAAAATAAAATCATCATCAGGTCATTCATGCCCGTTTTCACCATCAATTCCTAATTTTTAAGTGACCCCTATGGCACAGAATAATAATAAGTACTCCTATGGTAACACATAACAGGAATTTTGTTTTCAAAGGGGTCACTTAAAAATTAGGGATTGATGGTGAAAACGGGCATTAGTCTCCACTGAAGGCGCACGACCCTCTAATACCAGAGGCAAATGGAGGGTTTGGCCTACACTCCTACTACATCTACATATAGTCTGGTCGCCGAGCACGTAGAATTTTGTCAAATGACCCCGAGCTACCCATCCTTATCGCTCGCGCGTAATTATGTTGCTGTCGCGCTCGCACACTCACTGCGGGCGCCCGTCGCACAGTCGCAACAGCAATATAATTACGCGCGAGCGATAAGGATAGGTAGCTTGGGGTCATTGGACAAAATTCTACGTGCTCACAGACCGGGCTTTCGCGACCCGACCTGAGCGCGACTGATAGTGCAGAAATTATGTCCGATACTTTTACGTATTGTGCAGATATTGCGATTGG